AGGGCATCGTTGAACTGCCTGGCCAGGCAAAAGCAGTTGGCGCGCGATGGAAAAAGGAGCGGGGGCCCTGCGCCCCTTCCCTTCCCCCCCCCCTCTGCCTCCTGCTGCTGCTGTCTCCGCTCTCCCCTCCAGGCACTGCCTGACTGAGTGCAAGAGGCGGCGGACCAGGTGATGTGGGTCGGCCTCCAAAGCCACCGTGAAGGAGTGGCGTGAGTCTGAGAGTCCGCCTCTAGCGAATATCATTGGCGTGATGTTTTCCCCTCCCAGCGGAGGGCGGGTTCATGTCGGGGGGGCTGGCTGCATCCCACTCAGCCCCTCAACGTTCATGCCTCTCTTGAATGCTGGTTCTGTGAGTGGTGCGGGGCGGTGGCTGACAAGCAGCTACGAGCACTCGCAAGGCCATGTCCATGTATTCTCCCCCACAGGTCGGGAACACCTCAGAAGAATTCATGAGGGCTTAACCCCGAAAGTCCTCAGCAAGGCCGAGAAGGCACAGCGAGGCCGAGGGTAGTTCAGCATCGGCACTGGCATCGCCACTGGTCCCTCCTCCTCCTCCTCCTCCTCCTCCTCGAACTCCTCCTCCTCCTACTGCTCCTCCTCCTCCTTCCTTCTCCTCTTCCCCCCAGCTCTACCTCCCCTCACACTCCCCCTTTCCTGATCGTCCCTCCTCCCTCAACTTTCTGATCCTTCCTCCTTGCTAGTTCCCCTTTCCTCGTCCACCTATGTAAAGGTTCTGCCACCTCTGCCGGCAGTGAAAGTATTGGTGACGCCTCTTTGATGTGGCTCCTTGCATCATTAACGAAGGTCACTCGCTCGGGGGCCGCCCAAACGAAGAGGATGCTCTGCGCCAAGAGAGCCGCAAAGGATGCACTGTGCCCGCCCGATGTCCCAAGATGGCAAGCGAGACGGCGCGATTACGGCTGATACTCACAGCGAGTCGTGTCTTACATGATTCACAAAAGGTGCGGGGGCTGTCCCGCAACATCCGTCTCGAGGCAGTTTGTCAGCCGCTTCTGCATCTCCAGATTTCCTATACTGCGAGGGCAGCCTCGCGCATGAAGGCGAAGGCGGGGCTTGGCATCGACATGGCCAACCCCGTCGACCGCCAGAGGCTCTCGCTCGAGGGCCAGGCCGAGCTCCTCCTCACCTTGCAGGCGGTCGAGGCCACCCTGGCCTGGCCCGCGCAGCCGCTGACGGCCACTGGGAAGCTCACTCCCGGGACGACCCCTGGCGACTGAGTCAGAGGGCCCGCACCTGCCCCGAGTTCCTTCATAAGCGTCGCGAGGACGTCACCCCCGCCGACAGCCCCACATCGACCCACGTCGCGGGCAGCCACCGCGAGCCGAAAGCGCTCCGACGCCCGTCGCGTCGCAACGACGAGGCGAGGTCGACCCCCGTCGGGGAGGTAAACCCCCACGCTCATTAAGAAACCCAAAGTATACTTGGCCGTTTGTGGTCGCTCATGCGCAAACCGACCGTATAATCGTGGTCTTCGGAAAGCGATCGACGGTAGGACGCAGCCCTGCCTGACAACTCCTGTTTGCAAGGAGATTTCCTGCGGGCACTGGATGAGGAGCTCGCCCACGCGAGGGATCTCAAGTACGGCCACGGGATGCTAGAGACTGAGACGCTCTACGACAGCATCCCGTCGGATATCTTAGTGTCAGCCGCCCTACGGCTACATGCTCTAAGTGTGCGTTTGCCTCTAGAACTTCTACAGCGCGCAGCTCCACGATGCTTGGAGCAAGGCCAGGCAATGTCTGATTTGTTTGACCCGCTCTTGAGCGTCGTGCAGGGGCTAAGGTCGGGAACTCGTTTGGCAAAGATGGTGACTCATCATGTCATGGCTCCAGTCTCCACAGCGCACCCCCCCCACGGGACCCAAGCTCTGGGTCGACGACGTCTCGGAGACCATCAAAGGATCGAGCAAGGCCGTCCATTACCATTTGGCCAATTGTATCGTCACGACCTGCAAGGAGATCCAGCAGAGGCGACGTAAGGTCGCAGGTAAATCAGTTGTGGTTTGCACTTCGATGAGTGATGTTCATGCTGCGGCAAAATTAGTGCGTCGTGAAGGACTCATTATGGAACCAGTGGCACAAGCAGTGCATCCTGGTATTGACTTCGGATGTGGCAGGCGTGTGCGAGCCACCCGAGTGCAGCGGGAAAAGGAGCATCGTCTCATGAATATCAAGATCCGCAAGTCCACGCGGGCATCCCGACAATACCAGGCGATGACGAAGCTCCAGAAGCAAGGCGGGCTCCCAGCGGGCCTCTACGGGCATCAGGTCCACGGGCTTTTCGGCGAGAAGCTCACTCGGTGTCGGCACCGCTTTGCGCAGACGCGTGTTTCGTCAATGCGCGGCAGGCGTCTCACAACCGTGCTGACCCTGCGGGCCCCTGGTGCTGACCCAGCGGTGTCTCTACCCCATGCAGACGGTCGACACGTGGCTCAAGACGTGGCGGGATCAACCCGAGGCACGACCAGGAGTGCGGCGTGCGCGGGGCATCATCCTGCAGAGGATGCAAGCAGTCCCAGTCCCCGACCAGGTGCGCCTCATCAAGGGTCCCACGGGGGCCATCATCCACACGCTCATCCCTCTGGGCTGGCACTCGCAGAACCCGTCATCTTGGTCCTACCAGGCCGGTGCGAACCGCATCGAGGAGTGGTAGTTCCCCGACGGCATCTACACAGCCAATCCTGCCATCGACCGACACGAGGAGTTGTTAAATAACGTGCATGCTTCGTGTGGGGAGTTGATTTGGACCCAGGCTGCGAAGCATTCATGTGGAGGGGGATTAGAGCTGGGAGTTTATTATCCCTCATACATCCAGCTATTAAATCAGATGTCGAAGCTACCGGATGGCAAAGGTTCGTGTGAGATTATGATCATGGTGTCAGCAGGAGGCATGTGGACCAAGCAGAAGAAGAAGGAGCAGCTCAAGAATTTTCAGGGCACCGACCTTTGCAACAGAAGCGGGCTCGCTTCAGACTCACCTCTCCATCAGCACAGGCAATGCGATTGTAACGTAGGAGCTACGCCGTACTCGGACTCGGATGAACTTTGCACGCAGGCTGTTACGCAGTGCAGCACGGCCGAGGCGTTTTGGTTGCGAGGTTTGCTGCCCGCACCGCGGACAGCCGCGAGCCCTCCCCCAGCGGCTGACGCGTGACAGTTCACAGCTCACCAGGACCTTGCAGCAGGCATGTTTGGACAAGAAGCGCCTTCCGAGCCAGTACCTCATTTTCAACGATGCGAGCGGGGGCCCTCAAGCTCCGTCGCGTTGGCGTAGCAATCACCTGGTTTCGAAATTGACTCCCCTCCATCGAACCTCGCGGGTCGATGCATGGACCCCTGATTGGCCGGAGACAGGTTGCGGCCAGGGGAGGGCTGAATTGTATCTAACTCGCCTTGTGGGCGAGCAATGACATTCGCACTTTTGCTACCGACTACAAGGATGTTGTCACGGACTGGCATGAGCGGAGATTCCTGCAGCCTAGGGGGGAGGGCGCTGAACTCTGGGCTGCCGTAGGCGAACTCATCACCACCCGATCTTTCGAGCATGTTGCTGCGTTTGTTCACTCACTCCCACCTCCCTGCCGAGCAGATGGCCAGAGGTGAAGGCATCAGGCAATTGATTCTCGGAAATACAGTTGTGGATGAATTAGCAGGCCTGGCGGCGACACAAGCGAGAATGCTCGAGGCCGAGCGCCATCGACGGTTGTTGCACCAGCGTCGCGCACGATTGGTACAAATGAGGCTCTTCAGGGCATCGTTGAACTGCCTGGCCAGGCAAAAGCAGTTGGCGCGCGATGGAAAAAGGAGCGGGGGCCCTGCGCCCCTTCCCTTCCCCCCCCCCTCTGCCTCCTGCTGCTGCTGTCTCCGCTCTCCCCTCCAGGCACTGCCTGACTGAGTGCAAGAGGCGGCGGACCAGGTGATGTGGGTCGGCCTCCAAAGCCACCGTGAAGGAGTGGCGTGAGTCTGAGAGTCCGCCTCTAGCGAATATCATTGGCGTGATGTTTTCCCCTCCCAGCGGAGGGCGGGTTCATGTCGGGGGGGCTGGCTGCATCCCACTCAGCCCCTCAACGTTCATGCCTCTCTTGAATGCTGGTTCTGTGAGTGGTGCGGGGCGGTGGCTGACAAGCAGCTACGAGCACTCGCAAGGCCATGTCCATGTATTCTCCCCCACAGGTCGGGAACACCTCAGAAGAATTCATGAGGGCTTAACCCCGAAAGTCCTCAGCAAGGCCGAGACGGCACAGCGAGGCCGAGGGTAGTTCAGCATCGGCACTGGCATCGCCACTGGTCCCTCCTCCTCCTCCTCCTCCTCCTCCTCGAACTCCTCCTCCTCCTACTGCTCCTCCTCCTCCTTCCTTCTCCTCTTCCCCCCAGCTCTACCTTCCCTCACACACCCCTTTTCCTGATCGTCCCTCCTCCCTCAACTTTCTGATCCTTCCTCCTTGCTAGTTCCCCTTTCCTCGTCCACCTATGTAAAGGTTCTGCCACCTCTGCCGGCAGTGAAAGTATTGGTGACGCCTCTTTGATGTGGCTCCTTGCATCATTAACGAAGGTCACTCGCTCGGGGGCCGCCCAAACGAAGAGGATGCTCTGCGCCAAGAGAGCCGCAAAGGATGCACTGTGCCCGCCCGATGTCCCAAGATGGCAAGCGAGACGGCGCGATTACGGCTGACAGTCACAGCGAGGCGTTTCGGCTGCGACTCAAGAGCTTGGCCCTCAGCCTGCGAGGTAATGGGGCCCCTCCTCTTCCTGGTCCTCCCCCCTCCCTCCCTTCGGGGGAACGCCAGGTCCCCGCTAGGAGACGAGCTTCGCACGCGCGAGTGACAAGCGTGGACACCTGGTATGCAGCGCTTCTGCACCGAACAAGAGGGGCAAACCTCCTCCGCAAAAACAATCTCTCTAGAACCTTACAACGCTGGGTCCCCCAGGCCACGTACTGACACATGGCATGCAGCGCTTCTGCAATGAGGGACTGCCCTCCTGGTTTGCATCCGGAAAGCCCCACTCGACGCAGAGCAGCACTTCCCTGTGCAGCGGTCTGCGCTCTCATCCCAGTGCGCGCGCGTCCCTCCCCCTCTCCGACGTGCGCCCTCCCCTGTGTTGGCGTGCCCGCTGCTGCTACCAAATGTTGCATTCATGGTGCTCCCGTGCCGGAGCGTGCACTCAGACAGAATGCGAGGTGGCTATCCACAGAGTATCAGCAGGCCGCGGAGAGAGGCACTGCGGCGGCCATTAACTACAAAATTGTAAAGCACAGATTCCCCAAACAGTGCTTGCATTTAGGGCGACTTACTCCGTCTACAAGGAACTGGGCCTACCTACCTAGGTATCGGTCTGGCCGCCTTGTTGTCGCCGTCGCCGACCGTCGCCGCCGACCGTAGCCGCTCCATTGCGCCTGGGTGCTTCCGCCGGCGGGCTCTGCCGCCGTTTTGCTTCCGCCAGCTTCCGCCGAAAGCGGAGATGCGCCGAAGGTGAGGCCATTTCTGGAGCGCACTACGCGTTGACCTGTGTGTTGGACCAATATCTGAGAAATGGCAGTGCCCTGTGCTGCTGAATCTCGCACAGGCGATCGAGGGACACAGGAGAAGGGGCCTCCCGGCCTTGAGAAGCCAAGGCCGCCGCGCAACCCAGCGAACACTGTTCGAGCGAAACGTTTGATGCTTTACCTGCGCTTGCTCCGACAAAGCTCGAATCGATACCACCTGCCGCAATGACTTCACCAACTGGCTTTGGCGGTGCTGGGAGAAACTCCCAGGCTCGAAGCGACCCACTTGCGATTTGCATCATGGGTGATTTTCGCATCCGACGACGCCTCGAGGCCAGTCCGGTCCGGCAGGACTTGGGAACCACGGTCCCCAACGCAACGCACCCCGCGCACGCGGAACGTCCAGCTGTTGCAATGCAGTGGCGAGAGGTTGCACCTGCAACGGACCTATGATGTGCAGGATCAGCACCACAGCACTAGCGAGAATCTGCTGCAGCCGCTCGACTGCAGAGCGTTGCCCCCGCCCCCTGCACTGCCAGAGCGCGAATCCGCACACGGCGGGCGAAGGGACGGAGGAGTCGGAAAGGAAGGGATCCGAACACTGGTCTGCACCCTGCTGCGGTGCGCGTGCGCGCCCGTGGTTCGTGGCCGCGCAGCCTCTACTCGGGGATGGACAGAACCCCCTTTAGCAAAACGTGGTTTAGTGAAAACGACCTCGGGCCCAAATCTGGCGGGCGAAAGCCTGGAAACTGACGGCCACGGCGCCCTCTCGAGAACCGAAAACGGACAATTCACTAATCGACGTGTCAGGGTGGGGGTTCTGTCCACCCCCGATCTACGCACATGGGTGATGACAAGTGCTGGGGCACAAATCAACATAGATGCGCGAATGCGTTGACTTCGCTCTGCCGTTCCCGTGGCGGGCGCGCGCTCTTCAAGAGGCACTGCAGGGAAGTTCAACATCGAAGATCGGAGTGAGAGGGCCGAACGGTCGTTCACCGTCCCCAGGTGCGTGGCCGAAGTGGGATCCCGCGATGTGGATGTTTGTTATTGTCGTTGTGGTTGTTGCTGCTGCTGTTGGTTTGTTGCTGCTGTTGATGTTGTTGCTGTTGCTGTTGATGTTGTTGCTGTTGTCTGTTGTTGTTGCGTGGTGCTGTTGTGGATTGTTGTCGTTGCTGCTGATGTTGTTGTTGCTGTTGTTGGTGTTGCTGCTGCTGTTGCTGCTGTTGTTGTTGGTGGTGGTGGTGTTGCCGTTGCCGTTGCTGATGCTGTTGCTATTGCTGGTGTTGGTGTTGTTGATGCTGGTGCTGTTGCTGCTGTTGCTGTTGGTGCTGTTGTTGGTGTTGTTGGTGTGATGTTGTTGTTGTTGCTGTTGTTGTTGCCGTTGTCGTTGTCGTTGTTGTTGTTGGTGTTGATGTTATTGTTGTTGTCATTGTTGTTGCTGTTGTTGGTGGTGGTGTCGTTGTTATTGTTGTTTGGCGTCATCCTCCCCGCGACCCGGCCCGCGACCCACCCGCGACCCCCCCGCGACCCACCCGCGACCCACCCGCGACCCACCCGCGACCTGGCCCGCGACCCGCCCGCGACCCACCCCGCGACCCACCCACATTGCTTTAACGAAAAATCGGCGCCTGCGGCGGGCCCGTTGTATAAGTTGTAAAAATGAGGCGCCTGCGGCGGGCTTCTTCAGAGCCTCGCAGACTGCAGACGTCCCCGCCGCCCCCTCACTCTGATCCGCATCTGCGGGGTGCTGCGTATACATCGGATCGGATTGGAGCGTGCGTCGAATCGGTCCGCATAGGCGCGGAGTCGGGACTGAATCGAATCTGCCGCGCCAAGAAGCACAATAGCGCCATGTAAGCATCGGGCCGCATCGCACGGTCGGAATATCGGGATCGAATCGGATCGCGACAGTAAAAAACGCGGCGCGCAAAGAGGGGTGGCGCGAGGGGAGCGGCAGGCCTGGCCTTCTTGGAAAGCCCCCCGCCCATCTTGGAAGACAACCCCCCTCGCGCAACCCCCTTGTGACGCGCCGCCAACTCCTGCACGCATAAGAACCCCTCCAGAAGAAGGTCTTTAGTAGAGAGGGCAGAAATTCCTCCCCCGTAATCATCACCCCCACAAGCGAAGCTGGTCCCGGTTAGTGCACGCGCCCAAGGAAGGAACGAACAGGGCGGGGCTGTTTAGTAAACGCCCAGGGCCGTTTAGTAAACGTCAATTGTCGGGTCCAGGTGTTTTTGTTCCTCCTCCGATTTGGGTGACACGATGGCAACTCGCTGACACTTCGTTCGACCTCAGTGGTGCAGTCAGTCACTAACGCTCTGGCCATGAGTCATCAAAGCATCGGTGACCACAGGGAAGGGAGATGTTGGCCTCAACGAAGAGCTTGCATCAGACCGTTCTTCACTGATGAAGCCACCAGCCTGTTCCGCATGGCTAGCAGGGGAGGCTGAGGTGATGACACTGAGTGCCAGGAGGAGCACGCCATTGCAGAACCAAAAATGTCCTGGGGGGGAGAAACAAAAATAAAAAAAACGATTATGACGGACAGCCGAGAGGAACTCCCTGAGCAAGGACGATCGAGGTGGACACAGGAGATCGAACGGCGAGTGGCAATGAGGGTAGAAAATGACCATGACGCTGAGATGGAGACGGCAACTGGCAGGAAGGATGGAAAAGATAAGCGTGCAGCAATCAGAAATCAGCGTGGTGAAAAGAAACCTAGCCCGGAGACTCCGAAGGCAGGATCGCACGCGTCTACCCGAGCGACATTGTTTATCCAATTCCGGCTTTACCAGTCAACGACATCCACCAAAAGTCACGCGCACTCACACATGGCACAATTGAAGCGACAGACACTTGCAAACTGCCACGGCAGGGGCAGACCGATCTAAGACCCTCGACGCCCACGGTTCCCCAAGCAACAGCGGAAGCGCACCGCACACGCCAAACCGACCATCGGGAGCGTGATTCCAAAAAACGTGGTGGGTGGCGGAACTGAGTTTCGCCTCTGGCTGCAGAATTTCTGAGGTTTCGCCTCCTCTCCCGCAGAGATGACATGCGCGTGACCTGTGCACTCACGAAAGACACTGACAGGCTCTCGCCCAGTTCACTTCGAAGGATGTTCCAGCGAAGGCCACAGGCCACACTTCCAACGCTGCTGTCCTGTCATCCCACCAGCCAGCGGGCGCCACGCCCGCTGACTGGTGCTACAATTGCGTCGCATAGATTGCGCCCACCACACAGCTTGCGTCCCATAGCTTGCACCATCTAGCGTGCACGATTTAGCTTGCCCCGCATAGCTTGCACGACATGGATTGCACCGCATAGCTTACACCATGTGTAGTGCACCACAGAGCTTGCACCACACAACTTGCACCATGTAGATTGTACCGCATAGCTTACACCGCACAGCTTGCACCACATGGATTGGGCCAGATGACCCGCACGGCATAGCCTACATCACATTGTTTGCACCACATAACTTCCACCTCCAGAGTGCACAAACTTAGTGTTTGGAGTCCACGCTGGCCAGCATGTTAGGGATCTGTTGGGTGCTACGCTTCTTGGGGATATTCGGGCTCTGTTCGGACCCGCTGGGGCCTCTTGACTCCTGCGGGGCCCTCCTGTGGCCGACTTGTGACGTGCCTGCAAATGTCCTTGGGGGGGCGCGGAGGGGCTCGGACCTACAGGTTCGGGGGACCCTTTTGGCCCATTTGTCGATGCTCGTGGCTGCTCGTGGGACGGTCTTAAGATTTGGGGGGACCCCTTGGGACTCTTCTGTGGACCCCGTGGGGCCCTCTTGAGCCATCTTGGCGCCATCTGGCAGCATCGGAGGCCCAGCCAGAAGAGGGAAAAGGCGATGGGCACAAGTCCTTGACCGAGCTCTGCTCCCCACGCTTACCCTCCGGAGAGCGCTCCCAAAAAGCCCCGCAAGGCCACCTCAAAGCCGTCTTCGAGCCTTCTCGGGCTCCCAGAGACCGCCGAAGGGCTCCCAGCTTCGCGCTTCGCGCTGCGCGAAGCGCGAAGCGCGAATAACTTCGCGCTCTCGCGCCGCCCCCCCAAAGGGAGAAAATGAGGACGAGGAGGAGGGGGAGAAGGAACGAGGACCGCGAAGCGCGAACCGCGAATAACTTCGCGCCCTCGAGGGAGCCCTTAAGACCATGCCAGAGGCTATCTGTGAGGGGGGGAGGGCAACAGCAATATCGATGACACGCCGCCGTGGGGAGCCAAGAAAACTAGGGAACAGCACGCCGATGGGCTCCGAACGGCGACGTGCCATCGATTGATTTTGTCTTCTCGAAAGACACATTGTGCCAGGGTGCATTCGAAGTCTCGATTGATTGTCTTCTCGAAAGACCCGGACCTCGCCCAGGGTGCATTCTGGTCTCGATTGATTGTCTTCTCGAAAGACCCGGACCTCGCCCAGGGTGCATTCTGGTCTCGATTGATTGTCTTCTCGAAAGACCTGGACCTCGCCCAGGGTGCATTCTGGTCTCGATTGATTGTCTTCTCGAAAGACCCGGACCTCGCCCAGGGTGCATTCTGGTCTCGATTGATTGTCTTCTCGAAAGACCCGGACCTCGCCCAGGGTGCATTCTGACCAGAATCGGGGAGACGCAAGACTCGGGTACGGGGGACTCGGGTTGGCCTGACGGGGCCATCATGAAAATGGCAAGGCCCAATCTGAAATTTGACGCGAGCTCCCGCTGCAGACATCCCACGAAAACTGGAACGTCAAAATCCAGGACGCGCTCGTCAAAAACCGTCGGCAAACCTGAGTTCCGGCTTACTCGAGTCTTACGTTTCCCCGACAGAATGTCGAGCGGAATCCAGCCGTAGCGACCAAGGCTTTCCGGGACGAGCAGCGGTATCGGTACCCAGACATCCTAATCCAATCCGCGGCCCCAGGGCTACAGACCCCTTCCCCGTGGCGCCCCGATCCGTTTCTGATGGTCCCTGGGCCCAACCGATAACGGGCCCCAGAGGCCGAAATCTAGGAACGGCATGAATACATCAGACGGTCGCAGGATCTCGACAGAGAATCCAGCCGACGAGGGCCCTCCAGGACGAGCAGCGGCATCGGTACCTTTCTCCCCCTCTGATCATTCTTGGCAGAGACATCCGGACCCATACACCCACCAATCATCCATTCTCCTGCGTCGATGGGAGGCGGAGGCAGAGTTCGGAGTTCGCCGCGTGTTCGACGAATGCCGAACCCTAACACCCGCCGTCCATCGAGTTGCTTGAATATGAAGGGGCCCTGGGACACACAAACAAGCGTCACGTGTGCCATGGCTCTTGCACCAAAGAGAAAGGGAAGGAGGAGGAGGTGGAGGAGGGGGGAAGAGGGGGCAAGACATCGCCCCTCGGGGCCCAGCAACGGGGCCCAAATCCCAGGTGGGGGGGGAGGTGGTGTGCGTCGCGACGCGGAATGAAGTGTTCGGAGCGGAGGGGGCACGGGGCGGAGCTCCAACTGGGGCGCTGGGGGCGCAGAGAAGAGGGGGGGGAGGTGGTGTGCGTCGCGACGCGGAGTGAAGTGGTCGGGGCGGAGAGGCACGGGGCGGGGGTCCCACCGGGGCGCTGGGGCGCAGGGGACGCGGGAGGGAAGGGGGGAGGTGGTGCGCGTCGCGACGCGGAAGAAACGGTCGGGGCAGAGGGCCACGGGGCGGGCCGCCCACTGGGGCGTTGGGGACGCGGGGGGGATGGGGGGGAGGTGGTGTGCGTCGCGACGCGGAATAGAATGCTCGGGGCGGAGGGGGCACGGGGCGGAGATCCCACTGGGGCGCTGGGGACGCGGGGCGGCTCGGGGCAGAGGGCCACGGGGCGGGGGTTCCACTGGGGCGCTGGGGACGCGGCGGATGGGGGGGGGGAGGTGGTGTGCGTCGCGACGCGGAATAAAGTTGTCGGGGCGGAGGGGGCAGTGGGCTGGGCTCGGGCCGACTGGGGCGCTGGGGACGCGGGGGGGGAGGTGGGAGGAGGTGGTATGCGTCGCCACGCGGAAGAACAAGTTCGTGGCGGAGGGGGCTGTGGGCGGGGCTCCTACTGGAGCGCTGGGGACGCGGGGGGGCTCGGGGTGACTGGGCTGGGTTCCTACCGGGCGCTGGGGACGCGGGGAGGGAGGGTGGGGGAGGTGGTGTGCGTCGCGACGCGGCATCAAATGCTCGGGGCGGAGGGGGCACTGGGCGGGGCTTGGGGCAGAGGGCCACGAGGCGGGGGTCCAACTGGGGCGCTCGGGGGGGGGGAGGGGGGGGGGGAGGTGATAGTGTCGTCGCGGCGCGGAATGAAATTGTCGGAGCGGAAGGGGGCACGAGGCGGAGCCCCCACGGGGGCGCTGGGGACGCGGGGGGGAGGTGCGGGAGGTGGTGTGCGTCGCGACGCGAATAAAGCGTTCGTGGGCGAGGAGGGCAGTGGGCGGGGCTCCCTCTGGGGCGCAGGGGACGCGGGGGGGCTCGGGGCAGAGAGCCATGGGGCGGGGGTCCCACTCTGGCGCTGGGAGCGCGGGGGGGGGTCGGGGGTCCCACTGGGGCTCTGGGGACGCTGGGGGGAGGGGTGGTGTGCGTCGCGACGCGGGATAAACTGTCGGGACGGAGGGGGCACGGGGCGGAGCTCCCACGGGGGCGCTGGGGACGCGGGGGGGAGGGTGGGGGAGGTGGTGTGGCGTCGCGCCGGTGGAAGAACGTTCGTTGGCGGAGGGGGCAATGGGCGGGGCTCCCACTGGGGCGCTGGGGACGCGGGGGGGCTCGGGGCAAAGGGCCACGGGGCGGGGGTCCCATTGTGGCGCTGGGGACGCGGGGGGAGGGGTGGGGGAGGGGGTGTGCGTCGCGACGCGGAATAAAATTGTCAGGGCGGAGAGGGCACTGGGCGGGGGGCCGACTGGGGCGCTGGGGACGTGGGGAGGGAGGTGGGGGAGGTGGTGTGCGTCGCGACGCGGAATAAAGTGGTCGTGGCGGAGGGGGCAGTGGGCGGGGCCCCCACTGGGGGAGGGGAGGTGGTGATGTGGTGCGTGAGGAGGGGGAGGTGGGTGTGCGTCTCGACGCGGAATAAAGTGGTCGGAGCTCTAGACACCCTGTGCAAGAGAATGAATAGACACAAATAGCAGGATGTCATATACTTTCCTCTTTTTTCTGGATGTTTGCCTTCCCCCCCACGTCCCAGATGCTCCCGTATTTTCTGGGGAATCGACGCGCAATTGTGCCTGTGTGTTCTTTCCCTCCTGAGATATCGTGCATCGGCGAGGGCAGGGTTCGGAGTTCGCCGCCGACCCCCCCAAGGACCCCGGCCTCTGGCCACAACGGCCCAGCGGGCGCCGCCTCGGAGGCCCGCCCTGCCTCTGCCCCCGCCCGGCCCCGCCCGGCCCGCGGCCGGGCCCGCGGGCGCACTGGCTCCACGAGCTCTGGCGCCGCGGGAGGCGGCGCCCGCTGCAGGCGTCGTGCTGCCACAATCGAGAGGCCTCCCAAGTGGGGTCCGAGCAGCCGGGGTCCGAGGACCGCGCCGCATCGCCGATGCGTTCGCGATGCAACGGCGACGCTGGCGATGCACCGGCGGCGCCGGCGTGGAGGAGAGGGGGCTCCACGTCGAGCCGCACTGCCAATGCGGCGCGATCCTCCGACCTCGCCTACTCGGACCCTATCTGAGAGGCCAAGAGGAAGGGCGGGCACGCTCCTCCTCCTCCTCCTCCTCCTCCTCCTCCTCCTCCTCCTCCTCCTCCTCCTCCTCCTCCTCCTCCTCCTCCTCCTCCTCATACCCCTTCGCCTCACAATCACCACCTCCACCTTCATCATCATTACTCGTCCTCGTCCTCCAGGCACGGAGCGCCGCGAGCAGAAGAGGCGCCGAGCCGCCTTCGGCCCGCACGGCCTCCCGGCGGTCTTCTCTCCCTCCAGCAGCGGCTGCACGATCCGCTGAACCTGGCGGGGACCCAACGTTGATAGAAGTAGCTCCTCGTCCTCCTGCAATCGGCGGCGCGCCCAGGGGGAAGGTGAGAGGTGCGGGCCTTCTCTGAAGGCTCGAAAGGCCTCTGGCCTTCTGAGAAGCTGTCTGAACCCTGACCCAAACCACGGAGGGCTTCTCAAAGGCCGGAGGGCTGCCGAGAAGCCCCGCCGCCTTCTGAGAAGGCATGCCCCCGTCTGCCTTCCCCCCCCATGGGCGCGCCGCTTACCAACCAAACTCGGAAGAGGTAATCCCAAACCCATTGCGACTCTCCAGTCCTGTTTGCTCCGAGTGGAGCGTCCTCAGATCCCCTCGTCTCTCTGTGCCGAATGTTGCCCATGCTCCTTCAGGGGCCCAAGTCCCCGTGCTCCTGGCGCTCTGGGACGCTTCTGGGCACTCCTGGGGGTGTTCCGCATGACTTGTCCAAAGGCCTCCTGACACTTCCAACATCGCCGAAGATGGTCCAAAGAGGCCAAAATCATTGAAAAAACATGTGCGTGACTGATGTTCGCATACTCACGGTTTCCGTGTATGTGAAGAGCGTGCAAGGCTGCTTGATGCCGACAGCGGGACACGGCGCCTGTTCTTTCCATGGCTGGGCTCCGTCGTCCTTCCGTCCTCCAACCGCTACGCCCTCATACCTTCTCGATATCCTCCTCCTCATCCCTCCTCCCTCATCCTCCTCATCCTCCTCCTCTACCTCCTCCTCCTCCTCCTCCTCCTCCCCTCCTCCTCTCCTCCTCCTCCTCCTCCTCCCCTACCTCCTCCTCCTCTTCGCCCCTCCGACTACCTCATCCTGTCCTCCTTTCCTCCTCCCTCCCCCTCCACCGTCCTCCCTCCTCCGTCCCCCTCCCTTCCTCCTCCGTTCTTTCTCCTCGGTCCTCTCGGTCCCCTCCTCCTCGACACTCCTGAACCTCCTCCACCTCCACCTTCCTCCGCCCCTCCTCCTGCCGCCTCCTCCTCCTCCTCCGCCCTCCTCCTCCTCATCCTCCTCCTCCTGCCTCCCCCCTACTCCTCCTCCTCCTCCTCTCCTCCTCCTCCTCTCCTCCTGCTCCGCCTCCTACTGTCCTCCGTCCTCCTCCTCCTCATACTCTCTACTGCTCCCTCCTCCTCCTCCACCCCCTCCTTTTCCTCCTTTTCCTCCTCGTCCCCCTCCTCCGCCTCCTCCTCTTCCTCCTCTTCCTCCTCCTCTTTCTCCCCCTACCTCCTCGATACCCATCTCGTCTTCCTCCTCTTCCTCCTCCTACCTCCTCGTCCTCCTCCTCAACATATTATAGATAGTAGTCTTCGTCGTGACAATAAGAATAAGAATAAGTATATCAATGATAACAACAATAGTAATGATAGCACGAATAAGAATAGCAATGTTAATAACAATGATAATAATAAGAATAATGTTCTCAGTATTGGTAGTAGTAGTAGTAGTAGTAGTAGTAGTAGTAGTAGTAGTAGTAGTAGTAGTAGTAGTAGTAGTAGTAGTAGTAGTAGTAGTAGTAGTAGTAGTAGTAGTAGTAGTAGTAGTAGTAGTAGTAGTAGTAGTAGTAACAGTTGCAGCAGCAGTACAAGTAGCAGTAGTAGTAGTAGTAGTAGTAATATTATGAATGTGATGATTGGTAGTGGAATGAATAGTAATGCTGGTAGTGTCAGTACTATACGTTTGTAATTTACAATATGAATAGTATTAGCACGCGTATTAGCAATGTCACGAACAGTGGTAGCAGAATGATCATGAATAGTAACGGTAACAGTAGATTTATTAGTAGTATTGATGATACGTGTTATTTGTAGTACTAGAATTCTCATTCGTACGTGATTAACATGTTGACGATAAGCTTTAGTCGTACCACGAGTATGTTCATTAGTATGATTAATAATATTGATAGTGGTGTCATTAGTATTAGCCTCACATTACCCGAGGTAACTGTAGTATAGCCATGAATAGTAATACTAATAATATTGTCATTGCTAGTAGTGTTACTCGTAGTAGTCGTAGTAGTAGTCGTACAAGTGATAATACTACGATGCGCAATGGTAAGAATGTGCGCCTTGTTCGTGCTACTATACGTCGTAAAGTTGTGTTATCATTCGTAATCGCCGTCTTATGGGTAGTAGCACAGTTCTTCTTCACAGACTTAATAAACATGGTAGTATTACACATATTCTCCTTACTGGAAGTACTGCGTGTCTTCGTTACTGTGCTTTACTCATATTATGGAGGAATGGACGACTTAGTAGTATTAGTGTTCATTATTCTTCTGAACACCATTGTTCTTATTAACGCTACTCTTACTCATCCTCCTCCTCCTCATCCTCCTCTTCCTCCTCCCCCCCTCTTAACAATCCTCAGTATATTCCGTTTCTTCCTCCTCCACATGCTACTCCGCGTCTCAACCTCCTCCTCCTGTTCCTCATCCTCCTCCTCCTCCTCCTCCTTCTCCTCCTCCTACTCTGTTTCCTCCTCCTCCTCCTCCTCCTCCCCCCCCCCCCCACCCCACCCCCCACCCCCTCCTCCTCCTCCTCGTCCTCCTCATGCTCCTCCTCCGC